TTTCCCTTCCCTTTCCCTTCCCTTTCCCTTCCCTTCCATTTCCTTCCCTTCCCCTTCCCTTCCCCTTCCAAATTCATCCTCCCTTCTTCTTCCCTTCCCCTACCCTTCCCCTTCCGGCCTCCCCTTCCCCTCCCCTTCCCCTTCCCCTTTCCTTCCTCCCCTTCCCTTTCCCTCCCCTAATCTAAACTTTTTAAATTTTAAATAAATATTTCTTTATTGTTTAAAAAGCAGCCCTGTATATACAGAAATGAACCCCTGTAAAAAGTATAAATTTAGCGGAGGGACTATTTTCTATGACGTTCCACCAATAAGAGTTTAGATAGGTAAACTTCCCGTTGAATCAACCAATAGGAGATGAGCCACGGGTTCTGACATGCTCGCTGTATTTAGACCTCTTAAACAGAGAAACGTCAAATTCTATTTCACTTTTTAACAAGAACAGACGTTTTCAATGTCGGATGAAAATCATTAAATTGTCCCTTGACACACGGCAGATTTCCTATAAGTGATTATTTTTTAATATTTTTTACGTAAATTTCGTGATTTCTGAAGTCGTATTTTTCTGCGTAATTTACGTTTACTATATTTATGATTTATTTTTTCAGAAGAATTAATTTGGAATCAGGCCCCGTTTAAATGTTTATTTGTAAAGTGTAGAGATATATTATATATTATCGCTTAGTTAGTTTGTGACACTTAAATACCTACTGTAAATTGACAGCATTGTCAACGCTATTCATTCTGTATTTTGTTACCAGGTAAGAACCGAAGTTTTTTTGGGTTTGGGGGGTGGGTGGTTGTTACTTATTTACACGTTGATTTAACTATTCCTGTGATTTGACGTTTGCTTTATTTATAAATCGCAGACGAAAGATGACATTTTTAAGATGTAATTTTTAAGTAATGAATTAATTGAAATGAAGTTTTTTCGTCGCTGATTTTGGGTCTTTTATTAAGTATTTGATGCATTCTAAGATTTATATCAAAATTGGGCGGGGTCGGGTTTTTGTTCCTTCATACTTAAAATACATGCCTTTTGACAATTTTATTAACTACCTGTTTTATTTTAGTGTTTCCTTTGAATCCTGGTTTTATTATTTTCTCCATTTCTGCACCGTGAGAGGTGACGAGGCTCGGATATTCAACGCGAAAGCCAGATTCTTTAAACCTTTGGCTGTACTGACGGGGAAACATGTCAGCCGAATCTCTTAATGTGTCCAGCATGAGAGGTAATTATCGACGAAAATATTCACTTATTGATTACCAAAATACCNCCCCCCTTACTTGTTAATAATTTTCCTCACTGCAGTTCGGCAGTTTCTCCTCGGAAATCATTATCAAGAATTTACCTTTCGACTGAAAGACAAATTCTTGTCTAATTACTTTCATTTTTGGTATTTCCGATTCTCTACGGTACCCTTAGCTTTTTCACGTAAAATGACCTGTATCACCTGTTATAGGCACGTTTTTCGTTTAGTAATGAGATTATATTTTTAAATTCATTATTCAAAATTATTGACGTAAAATGAGTAAAGACACTGGAAAATTTCAAGTTAAGGTGACTGGTATGAATTGGATATGCCATTTTAGAAATAGACTGTGAAAGTTAAATGGTAATTTACTTCAACGATTTCGTGAAAAATTTAAGTTTTTCCTAGTAATGTCGGAATCACTTTAATTGATTATTATCTGTTTGTATAGAAGTAAGCACACATCGTGAGGTGCGTGGGGATCCTTTAGCGAGGGAAGCGCGCGTTTCCTTCTGTGCTGCTGGTCCTAGACCCGAGCGCGTTTACACGCACGCTGTGCTTCTGGAGTTGAAGATGCACCCCCTAGCGCAGATCTGGCCTGAGTACCTGGGTCTGGTGTACAAGAACACACGGGGAGTCTGGGACCCGGATAGGTGACAATTAATTTTTTTCATTGATTTTATAAATAAGCCCACCACCCTCCGTTATTCCATAAAACATCTTAAATCTTGAATGTTTGCGCTAACATTTTTTTTCGCTAAATTTTTTTTTTTTAGAAAAATTAATTCATTTTGAAGGCCTGTAAACGGGTCATTTTCCCCGCCTTAAAGCCGGTGTTTTTAAGAGATTTGTTTCTTTTTATATCCATATTTTGATTAAATTTGTTTTTGCTTTCATTAAGGCATGTTTTTCAAACTTAATCGTCATTCATTTTTCGTCAATCATTTTTCGTCCGAGCAACATAACGTTTTTTCGTCATTTTGGTGACTTAATCTCCAGACCCCAATTAGGGGTAAATTTAATATTTACCTAGAGTCTAGCTTCAATGATGAAACACTGGTCACCACATAGATTATGTTCAAATGTTTCATTTACTACGCCCTCGGGTTTGTCATTGAATCCCTCGGGGTTTAAATTTCTAATTTGTCTGAGAGTAAATGACATTCCTTTTTAAAGAGGGGAGTCAATGATAAACCCGAGGGCTTGCGGATTTTGCGGATTTTTTTTTGCCTATGTAGATTTTCAAAGTATCTTTCAATGAAAATATCCCGGCGGGATTAAATGAAAATTGTTGCATACCAAAAAACCAGCTTTTTATAAAGGAATGGTCATTTAAAATCTAGCTCCCGATTCCGTCTTTGATTACTTATACAATGTTCCAGGTGGCATCTTGATCAGAAGCGGAGTGAGACCCCTGTAGTCAAAGATGATGGAGTTGAAGTAAAGAAAGAAGAGAAAGACGTAGAGAAGGTGAACAAAAAATTGATAAAATACTGTCAAATATATACAGAGCGACAGAAACCCATTGCGACGGAAAGTAACCCAATTTCTTGAGACAGACAACCCCCCACTTTCTTCAGACTGGCAGAAACCCACTTAGTGACGAACAAAACCCCACTTTCTTTCTTACGTTAAGAAAACCCACTTTCTTGAGACAGAAACCCACTCTCTAGAGACAGACAGAAACTCATTCTCTTGAGAAAGACTGAAACCAATTCTTTTGAAAGACTGAAACCATAGCTCTTGAGACGGACAGATACCCACTTTCTTTCTAAAGGAAACGCCCTCTTGAAACATAAACCCACTTTTGAGACAGAAACTCACTCTTTGAGACAGAACCCTACTCTTTGAGACAGAAACCCGCTCTTTGAGACAGAACCCCACTCTTTGAGACAGAACCCCACTCTTTAAGACAGAAACCCACTCATGAGACAGAAACCCACTCATGAGACAGAAACCCACTCATGAGACAGAAACCCACTCTGAGACAGAAACCCACTATTTGAGACAGAAACCCACTATTTGAGACAGAAACCCACTATTTGAGACAGAAACCCACTCTTTGAGACAGAAACCCACTCTTTGAGACAGAAGCCCACTCTTTGAGACAGAAGCCCACTCTTTGAGACAGACAGAAAACCACTCTTGCTACGGACAGGAAACTACTCTTGCCACGGACAGAAAACCACTCTTGCTACGGACAGAAAAACACTCTTCCTACGGACAGAAAACCACTCTTGCTACGGACAGAAAACCACTTTTGCTACGGACAGAAAACCACTCTTGCTACGGGCAGAAAACCACTCTTGCTACGGGCAGAAAACCACTTGATAGAGACGGACAGAAACCCACTCTGTACGGGAAGGAAACCACTTTATAGAGACGGACAGAAACCCACTCTATACGAGACGGACAGAAACCTACTCTTATAGAGACGGACAGAAACCCACTCGAGAGAGAGACAGACAGAAACCCACTCTAGAGAGACAGACAGAAACCCACTCTAGAGAGACAGACAGAAACCCACTCTAGAGAGACGGACAGAAACCCAGTCTAGAGAGACAGACAGAAACCCACTAGATAGACGACATAAACCCACACTAGATAGACAAACAGAAACCCGAGACGTATAAAACCCACTCTGTTAAATCGGGTCAAGCAAATTTCTAAGAGACTAAAACCGTTCTCCCTAAATTCAAAATTATTTCTCCAATTCTAAACTGAGCCTATTGTACGATTGTAATTTATAAAAATGTATAGGACCCTGAGACTGCGATCATTTTATCTCCTCAGCGAGCCAGCTTTCTCTCTGGTTGCCAGGCAGCTAAGGTTAAAAAAAAATATTTTTTTGTTCAGTATTTCATTTTTTCGTTTGTTACGATTTATTTTTCTGTTGCAGATCTATTTTTTTATGTTGTCGCATGTTTAATTTTCTGTTGTCGCAGACTTAATACATTGTCGCATATTAAATCTTCTGTATCTCCGTTTATTTCTCTGTTGTTTCAGATCTATTGTTTTTTTTTTGTCGCAGATCTTATTCAAATTTATATTTTATTCTAGGATGAACTCAACCTAAGACCTGATCAGCCAGGGGCCGGCCGACGAGTTGGAAGTGGACGAATTATTCGGCCGGAAAAGGAAGATGCACCGCCACAACGAGGAGCCAGGTATAGACGTATGTTTAATTAAGTTGATTTAAATTAAGGATAAACGTAAAACTATTTCATCAAAAACGTCCATTCCTTTATGCACCAGCAAAAAATATACAGAAGTAAAATGGAAGTATCATTTATTAAAGAGAAATTAAAGATATTAAAACTCCTTCTTTTATTGAAAATTAAAAAAACGTGAGGGAAGGTTGATTTAAAAGATTTTCAAAACCTGCTGATATGCAAAGATGAGTCTTGGACCGCTGAACACTGTCCTTTTGTCAGTTTTTCGATATTTGAATAATTATCTAATTTGAGGCTATAAAAAACTCCCTTTGATTCAGACACATTTTTTTCCAAAAAATGGATTTTTGTTTACAATGCTTAGGGATTTTTCCTAAATACGAATATATTGTTGATACCCATCTTAATATGATCATTAGTGACTATTCACATAAAGCAACAATCTGAAAGAAAAAAAGTTCTTAACTTGTGCAAGGTGGATTTTACCATTTTTATCATTTTTTGGAGGACCGTTTTTGAGTTATTTATGGAAATGATGAAGAGGTTCAAAGAATTCTAAATTGTTTAAATTACAACTGCATTATATTATTTTAATCTCTTGTATTTCTTCTAGGGTTAGGATTGAGAGAGAGCCTGCACCACCGAGGGACTGGGATCAGCGGGAGTTTAGTAAATACGGATTTCGACGAGAGGATGAGGAACGTCGAGGTTGGGAAGAGCGGCGGGAACCGTATCCCGACGAAAGAGACGCAAGAGGCATGGATCGGCGGCGGGGACGAGGTGGGAGTATTGGCGGTGGTAACGTAAACCGCCGGCGGGATAATGAACCTGAATGGATGCACGAGTCCGTAGCTCTAACCGACATTATTGAATTGAAAGGTTTCGACGACAAAGGAGGTCGGGGAAGTCGACCTAACAGTCGTCAATCCATCAAATCTGACCACAGCGCTGCTGGGGGTAGGGGTCCACGACAACATTCCGGACCTGGAGGCAAGACTGCCGGAAACAATCCTGCTCCGGTTATCGTTCCTGAACAGGAGAAGGACGGATTTAACTTTGATCATATCATGGAGTCAATGAACTCTATTCTGGACGGAGGAGTGGCTGAAGAGGAACCTGTTCAAGGTGTTCAGCCAGGTCAAAGCAGGTTCTCTCAGTTCTTCCAGCCCCGTGCTGAACCAGGGACCCAGAGCAGACGTTCATCTATCCAGGACGAACTTCTCGGGAGTAACATTCTCCGGGAGATTAACGGTGAACCGATGATTAAAATTCCATCTCCTAATGATTCGAACAAGTACTTCACGCCTATATCTCCTGCTGCTAAGACGGTCAAGGGGTAAGAAATCTCGTATTTATTAAAACTCATTTTTTAATGGATCTCAATGTGTTTGCATCTTTAGAATTTCTGTTTTCCTCCACGATAGCAAAGATTATAAATTGCGGTCGAACATGTGTGTTGTAAAGAAAAGGACTTGGCCTATTTTTGCTGGTCATTAACCTACTACATCCTTAATTGGGGTAAACAACTAAATACAGTTAGCCCTTTGGATTTCGCTGCTATAAATTAACATTTTGCTCTCAACGCAAATCTCAACTGTTAATGTGCGAGTGTTAATTACTTCATAATCTCTGAATCTTAAGTTTCAGCAAAGTAACGAGCAAAAAAATGAAGTAAAAAAAAGTTTGGTAAAAAAATTTGGAACATTTTTAAATGATCAAAAAATCAGAAAATATTGAAGAAATATGTATGACCTGGATCGGGATTTTTCTTTTAAAGCGTATCCAGGATCCAGATCTGCATCAAAAAAAAAAGAATTTAAGCACTCGATACTCGTTCGTCAGTATTCTGGACTCTAAATGAACTCTAATCCAGCATATTATTAAGGAACAACGTTCTGTTGGATATGTTGCAGAAGGGAAACCAAAACAAGACGGATGAAACTATTGTTCAAAAACTCGAAGATGGAATCAAGAGAAGCCTAGGGCTGGAGGACGGAATTAGAGCTGCAGGTTGTTACATTTTGCTTTGATAGATGAATTTAACCTCGCTCTGATCTTTGGTTTAGAGGAAATCAATGGCTGGTTTGGGAAATAATTTTTTGGAAAGCTTTTGAAATCCATTCCAAATTATCTGTTAGAAGCATGGCAATGTCTTTATTTATAATGTTGCTTCAGAAATTCAATTTGTTAAATTTCTAGATGATGTATTGAAGCGCAGTCTTGGATTGAATGAAGTGGACCCTCGTCTTGTTCAGCTTCAGCAGCAGGTTCTACAACAACAAGCAGCTCAACTTCAGCATCAACAACGTCCACAGCCGGTACAGGATAATGACCTCTCCGCTTTCAAGAAATTGGTAAGATAAATGAATACATATAGCCCTAATATGACCTGATTTGAAAACTTTAGAATGGTGGATATCAAGATTAATGCTTGATATCCTCTTTTTCATAATCTCCAGATTAAATAATGCTTGTTCTCCTCTTGTTATTAATCTCCAGATTAATTAACCGATCGGGATTAAGGATATCACATTCTGAAGTTTTCAAAGCTCTGGCTCATTGCCCGAAGAAAACTTGTCAAAGTATATTAATATTAGGCTAACCGCGCCCATTTATATTTAAACTTAGTTGTTGCTCAATCTTTAAGCATTTCCTCTGAAACAAGAAAAAAATGGCCGATAAAGAATTTTGTTTTAGTGGATTTTCAAAATTTTACGGAAATCTAAATTTTTTAGAACCTTCTTTTTTTATTTGAGAATCCATAAACCTTCCCTGGGGTCATGCACACCAAATTTGGGCCCGGTCGGTTCAGCCGTTTTGACGTTTATTGGATACAAACAGACAAGCTAAATTTATATATAGATATAGATAATAGTTGCTTGTTTAGGTTGCCCAAGTGAAGGGTCAGCCTGCTGAGCGTCCTCCTGCTCCTGGTTTTCGACCTGGTTTAGTGCGACCAACTCCAATCTCCAGTCTACCCGCTACAGCTCTTACCGAGCATGATATATTGGAGGGACGGGGAGGACAGAGGTTTATGGGGTTCTCAGGTTTACCCATACAGCTTTTACAGGTAACTGGGTAAAATCTGGCTGGCTAGTAACCGATGGGCCCGGCGTTGCCTGTGGAATTTTAAAAACACTGGGGGAAACATGTCTGGTTAGATGCGGGGGGGGGGGAAATTAAGTTTCTCACCCTCAGAGTTGCCATAGGTTTCAGCTAGTTCGGTCCAGCCGTTTGGCCAGATATATATGAGCTAAGAGCTCTATTTAATAGATATATATGTTCTAAATAAATCTCCCTTAATAAGTGGTTTTTCTTAAATGGTTAAAGGAAAATTACTCGTTTCTTGTAACCCCTGTGGGAATGTTGTTGAAAAGATTTGCTTCTTTTTAAACACCTTCAGGACAAAGAAAAAAGTTCTCCAATGGACTGGCTAGTCATTTCTGGAAAATCTTCACATGTCCTATTTAATATTGTACCTTATTAACCTTAGATGGAGCAATAATCTAAAATTTGATGATTTCCATAATAGGATTTTCATGAATGACGAACGTATTTCTTCAGCAATGAGCACAAAAGTAGAACATATCCACCTTTAACTTAGAATGAAATTTACAGAATCCAATGTAAACTACGATATCTTCCTGTTGTAATGTTGTCAGGTTGACAGGTTGTGTATTGGGCACACAACTTATTGAATAGAAGTTCAACAGAAATAACGTTTAATAAAAACATTATTTTCTTCATTTCTACATTATGAAATTGATTTGAAATCGAAACCTGAAATTTTTAAATTTAGTTTCTGGAGGGGTTTCCTTTGAACCGCGAAGTGATAAAGAGAAGTGAAGCTGAACACCTGATAAACTGTATCAGCAACGGAACTGTTCCCATGGAATCCCTGGTCCCTCATCTCTCCAACCCTGCTCTACCAACCAGGCAGAGGGAACTTATCCTCAACGTCCTGAAGCTGAAGACCATGAGCTCTGGGCTGGGGGTTCCTACGCCACAGATGGGGCCGCGAAGCTCACCGTTGAATGAGTTTTTCCTGTCGCAGCCCCCGCCTGTTCATCATACAAGGGTTTCTCCGCTACTCTTCTCAGGTCCAGGTAAAATTAAAAATTCAGTAAATCTTTAATGACTTAGATCTGGATCCATTTTTTCCAGTGCGGATCCAGGATCCGGATCCGCATCCGCATCCGCATCAAAATGGAATGGATCCTAGGCACTGCTTACAAGGTCATTTTTACGGAAAAATACGTTTTTTCTGAATATAAAATTTATTAGAACGCAAAATTTGACCATTCTTATTTTAATAATTATCAGGTGGTCCTGGTTCAAGCCATCTCTCTGTATCACCTGTCCCTCAGACCCAACGCGTACCTTCACCCCAGGTACCTCATTATTTAATTTATTAATCTAAAGGGACTGTAAGCGTAATTGTAGCTAAGATGACAATGTCCGATTTATTACGATACCCTTGAAATCTTAATCGGATAAAAAATGTGGGAAGATAACTTCGTTTTTATGACGCTGAAATGGTGTCTATAAATAGCAATGGAGAAATTAACGGACACAATTTCAGAGTCATAAAAACGAAGTTATCTTGCACATTTTTTATCCGATTAAGGTTTCAAGGGTATAAATAGCAATGGAAAAATTAACAAACAAGAAATGTTTAACTTTCGCAGAGAATTTTCAATTATTAATGAAAAGTTTAAACAAACAAAAACATGTATATTTCATTTATAATTGAAGAGACAAAGCATTAAAGGGTACCGTTGTAAATCGGGCATTGCCATCTTTCCGTGGTAGTCAACCGTTTCATAATTAAGCAAGACGCGGAACAATTTCACTTGCACTTATTTGTATTTCATAATTATTTGTTGACCTCTTTTGTGATGTTTAGGAGATGACCGTGTTGACCCAACACATCTTGCAGCAGGCCCTCATCAAGAAGAAGCTAGAGGAGCAGAAGGAGAACTACAGAAGAAAACACGAAACTGGAAAACAGGTTGGACTCGCATTTTTTGTTTAAAAAATTCCATTTATTCACGTTTTTAATTCGTTTGGGGGAAATAAATGAAAATTTGTCGATTCTCTCCGCCCCCCCCCCCCCTCAATTTTCCCCCCCTTAATCTTTATAATAAATCAAGACATTCGTATATATTTATGTTGCTTATAGCCGGCCAAACGGCTGGCTATAGGCAACCCATTGGGCTGAAATTTTTTGGGGACACTTATGGGTGGCCGTGTTATAGGCTAAACAAATTTGATTTTTTCATTTTTTTCCACGGGCAACGCCGGGCCCTTCAGCTAGTCTTTAATATACCTTTGTGTTAGTAAATGTTATTTTGTAGAGCCATCTTTCCATAGATAATTACTTGTTAGTGATGGCAATACTCTTGTTTGTTCTTTTTACTCGTTAGTGATGTCAATGATTTTGTTTATTTTTGGATCTCAGTTCCACTCATATGTCAAGCTTGTTAGCTTTACATCTGAGAAAAAAATTATTTGCAAAAAAAATTGAACTATCATTTAGAACTTTTTAATTATAGTTCTTATTTTCTTATATTTCTACTAGGATAATCTATATAATAAAAAAAAGAATTCGGGTAATATATGTTGCGTATAGCTCGCCAAACAGCTGAACCTAATGGGCTGAATTTTTTTGTGTACACTCATGGGCGGCCGGGGAGTGTTTGTCTAAAAAAATTCTTAATTATACAGGGTGAGTCAAAAAAAAGTGTGATTTGCGGCGCCTGGTGCAAAAGTGTACCTTTTTTGTGCAACTCTCCTGTAGGGTATTTTTTAAATATTTTTTGAAAATTTGTAATTTTTTTTGGTACTTCAATGGCCCAAAAAAAATCCGAACCTTTTTTCCTCTCAAAATCAAAAGTTCAGAAAAGCAAAAATGTGTAAATAAATTATTTCTATCGAAATCTAAAATTTTAAAAAGATTGAATCACAGAATCTCAGAAAATGGGCAAAATTGTAATAAGAAAATTCGCAATTTTCAGTCTTAAGGTTTCAACTGAACAGCGTATATTTAATACTTTAGAATATAATAAGAAGAAAGGAACTGAGAATTCAAATAACTTTTCCGTAAAAATTAGACCAGAACTGAAAATTGCGAATTTTCTTATTACAATTTTGCCAATTTTCTGTGGTTCTGTGATTCAATCTTAATAAAATTTTAGATTTGAAGAGAAATAATATGAAGACACATTTTTGCTTTTCTGAACTTTTGATTTTGAGAGAAAAAAAGATTCGCGGATTTTCTTTTGGGCCATTAAAATACCAAAAAAAATGTAAATTTTCCAAAAAAAATTGTGAAAAACACCATACAGGAGAGTTGCACAAAAAAAGATACAATTTTGCACCAGGCGCCGCAAATAAATTTTTTTTTGACTCACCCTGTATTTTTTTTAAAACTTCATATTTATTTTGAAAAAAAATTCCACGGGCAACGCCGGGCCTTTTATCTAGTTTCAAATAAAAGCAAATATTTGCAGAATGTTAAACTTAAATTGACAGTATTTTTCAATTTTAACGTATTGAATTCTATGTTAACTAAAACTGAAAAGAAACACCAGATCCGATCCTAAATGGTTTTGTTTTTAAGTCGTGTCCTTGGATTTATACGAAGTATTTGTTTTCCAGGATGAGAAGGAGAATATTCGCGGATTTCGAGCTCATGAGAACGGTTCCTCCTCCTCCCCCCTGGCCTTTACTCCGACCTCTGTGATGAGGAAGAATGCTGCGGACAGGAAGGATTCTGATCCTAGAGCTGGAGTACCGGAGCTCAAGATAACTGGGCAGGAGGAGCAGGGAGTGAATCAATCTCCGGTTAGTCCAGGACGACCCATTCTTAAGGTAGACTTTTGATCCTTTTTAATATTATTTCACATTTTTTCTCTAATTTTTCTGCCTGTTATCATTAGCCTACTTTGTTTTATATCTGTTGGCGTTACGTAATGTGTAATATTTTGATAGTTAATAACGCAAGATTTATTTAAATTTTCTTACAATTTCCTTACAAAGGGTTTTGTTTGAAATTTCCTTCGTGGGTTTAATTCGCTGTATTGGAGAAAATAAATTTAGTAAATTATATTGTATAAGTATCAAGGGGTGATGTTTAAAGGGACTGTAAACGTAAATTCAAGTGACTCTCCATGCAATTTTAATGTTTATAAAAAAGTGTCCTGCGCATTCCTACTGCAAGAAAACCAAGGAGAAATGAACGAAATAACCGAATCAAACTCTTTCAAGCTTAAACAATAAACAATTTTTCATTATCAATCAGATTAAAGTTTCAGGGGGCATTGCGAATCGGACATGAACCTCTTAAATGGAGGGTCACTTGAAATTATTCAAAATTAATTGGTTAATTCTTAGGGAGGTGTATCTGAGCGACCAATGGTTTTGGATCTTGGAGGTGGAAGATCTGCCTGGGACGGACCACAAGGTCATTCTCGAGGTCATCAGCACAACCTACCCAGAGCTCAGTCTCAACACCTACCTGGAGCTCACGGACAGCACCTGCCTGCTGGGTTGCTAGCTGGCGGTCAGAATATACCTGCTGGTCTGCTTGGGGGAGGTCAACAGAACCCTCTGTTGTACCTCGCTAATCAACAGTTGCCACCGTCTGTTTTAGGTATTTAACTTAAGTAGGAATAATATTTTGAATTATGTTTTCATCCTTCTCCCTTTCTGAATGTGTTAGGCAGTTGCCCAAGAAAGTTACGTGCACTTGCTGCGTTGATTTACAAGAGAGATGTTAGTAGACATTTTTGGGTTAGGTTAGATTGAGACACTTTCTGGGCCGATTGCTGCGGCTAGGACAGGCTAAGGGGCCGAGCGCAGCGACAAGAAAACTCACTCAGTCTGGTAATTCAACGCGGCATGCGCACGTAACTTCCTTGGGCGTCTGATATGTTTTTATACATGTCGTGCACTGAACACATGCATGAAGGGTTCAGTGCCACTTTTAAGCAAGGCACTTTTTGGGACTTATTGAAAATAAACAAAATCCGTACAAGTGGATCTCTTACAACCAGTCATGACGCTTTTTTTTAGCCATCTGCAAGCAATCAAAAATTTGATAATTATTGAGATTCCAGGGGTTCTTTTATGGCAAAGCACTGGCTCATTTTTAATTTAAAATATAATTTAAACATATTGGATAATTTATTGTTTTCTAAATATTTTAAATTTGGCTTTCCCAGATTATATGATCTATATGAAGTAAGAGACGTGTAAAACTTAGGATAATCATTTTAGGAAAGTATTGAAAGGATTTTTTAATGAGCCAGTTGTGAGCCATAAAGAGCCAGGAGCTGTCGGCCATAGCAGTGTTTAATGGGACGTAATGTTTGATACGATCCTGTCCACTTTTGGACTATGTCCTAGCAACTTTATACTGTATTAATAGTTGGCAATTAATTCATACTAAAACTGGGAAATAAAAGGAATTTTAATTTTTCTCTATATTCGAAAATCTCCTTCCTACCTTATTGTCCTAGCGCTTGTCTTAATTTGTTTGATTTATTTAGTTTCTATTTAGGCCACGGGGGAGTTCCACAGTTTAACGGAAATCTTAATGCGTTGTTCGGAGGACGATTCCCTCAACAGAACATGATGGGAGGTCATTCACTGGGACGAGCAGAACTTCCCTCTTCCCGGGGGGAAGGTGGACACAGTCCTGCACCCAACACCCTCTCCAGGTTCTTCTCAAACGACGTGCTGGCGGCCGCCGCCGCGTCCGGAGGTGTTGGACCGCCAAAAATGCCACCGCTTCCAACCGGTCAAGCGCTAACCCTGGAAGAAATTGAACGTCAAGCCTCTGCTGTTAAAATCTAAATCTGTCTCGCGCCAGTTTCTCCAAGGAATCCTCGATATTACGCGAAATGTATTTTAAAATCGATTAAATAAGAATTATCCGTCAATATATTTTTTTATCCTTGGGTTACAGCCTAAAACGAATTCTTTTTCTGCCTTGGTCGCTGCCTCGACAGGGTATTTTGTCGATAAATTTAACAACAATGTGATTGTTCACTTCAAATATGATGAACCGGTTTTCTTTGTTTTCAGTGTCTGTTAAGCTGTAGTAATCGTGTTACGTATGAAGTATAACACTGTCCGGGGTTCCATCTTAATTGTATTATATTAATATTCCCTGTATTGAGGCCACATTCCGTTCAAATAATTGAGATCATTTTTGATTAGGTCAGAATTTGATCCTTCATAAATCGCCCATCAAATGTTCTTTGTCCTAATCTGGGTTCTAACGGCGATAACAAAATAATCTAATCCAATTTTATTTTTCAATGCGGATGTATTTGAAAGGGCATTAAACAAATTATGTTTACTTCCACCTTATACCTGGAGATTTATAAGATTTGAATGTCGTAAAATACACAGGATTAGATGTTCGGTTTAAGTAAGCTCTGAAATTATTTTCGAGCTGAGCGAGAACCCTATATCCCCTATATAGTCTTCACGGTAAATTTGAATGTCTATGATATCATTTAAGTTCGTACTTAACAAGTAATAAATTGGTAACTCTAATCATTTTTATTTCTGGCAGTATAGGTCGCTGCATAGAGTAAAGTTAATGCCAAAAGAATAACGACAAGATGCGTAGTCTATAGTACGGTGAAAATATAAGAAAATTGGGATGGATGATTTTACAAAGAAAATTTAGGTGAATTGGGAGAGTTGGGATGGATGATTTTTTGGTAATAATGTACTGTTGAAACCAAAATAAAATATAAGATCCTGTAAAACAAAGTTATAATGTTAAATATGAAAGGGAAATTTTAAGTTATAAGCTGAAGGGTTTTGTTCTGAGATATTGGATGGGTCAATCTGCTGGACAATCCAGAGATAATTTCAAGGATGTACATGGAGAGGAAGGCTTAAGCCGCCCAAATTTACTAGATTAAGTTCTGCGCAGAAGCATTTTTCGAAGTGTCTTCTTTATAAACAAGACTATGTATCTTATCAAAGTTGTAAGTCTGGTTTAGAACCATGTACAAGACGAGAAGTTATATAATTAATGTTGATTTTTGGATAAATTCTTGGTTTTAAAAAAGTTTAAAAAAATTAAATGCTGCTGGGTTCTGTGGGATGACGTCAGATGTTTCGGTCTACCGTTAAGTCCAGAGATGATTTCAAGGATGCTCGGGGGGAGGAAAACTTAAGCTGCCAACTTTTCCAGAAGAGATTCTGAGTTGAAGCATTTTTCGAAATGTCTTTATACAAAAAATATAGAAACACTGGGGTGTATGATATACGGAGAAAATGTAGGAAGATTAGGATTTATGATATATGGAGAAAATGTAGCAATATTAGGATGTATGATTTTACGGAGAAAATGTAGGAAGATTAGAATTTATGATATACTGAGAAAATGTAGTAATATTAGGATGTATGATTTTACGGAGAAAATGTAGGAAGATTAGGTATGAGATTACGGAG